ATACCTCAAACAATCAAGAATAAATCATTCCAAATCATAAAGGATAAGAATAACAACATCAAAGCATAGATTAATATCTCAAAATATCACCATGATACAAAAGAGTTCAAAGGAAGTGCACCGAATCTTAAGAGAATAAAGTTAGCCACTCATGTTGGCCATTACAATGCTCTAATTGATGAAAAAGTGAAGAATTGATGAAGATTAAATGAAACCCTAACAGTAGTCGTGCCTCCTCTTCTCCAAGACTGCCTCCTTTTCTCAAAACATAACTTATCTTTTTATAAGAGAATTTGGGTCGGGCCTCGCATCTTTCATTCGCTTAAGCGTTCTTCTTTCTTTTAATTTTACTCCAATTATGCTGACAATTGTACTCCTTACTCTTGTATCAAGGTATTCTCGAATTCATCCTATATTGGGAGAAAAATATATTAGAATTAACATACGTTAAGTGGTTTCATAACAATTCAAGGCATAAGTATAACAACTTTTTACCACTTAATACCATCGCCTTAAAGTAGGCATGGACGACTGTCTGGCTGTCCTGGATGGTCATTTGCTGTTTCCGACGAAATTTTTTATTTTTATTATCTCTGAAAACCCTTCCTATCTTAAATGGAACCTAGAAAAAACTACTAGGGACTTAACAAAGTATTGATCATCTTCGAAACGAGTTATCTCTGGCTTTATTGGGGAGCCGGGCAAGATTTGGAGTCTACAATGATCCTAAAATTATGAAAATAAATATAATTAACATATACCTACAATCACAACTACGATAAAAATTTAATCTCTAAACACTTCAATTTCGATTTTATATGATTTTTCAAAGTTGTTGAGCAGACATAGCAACTTTGTGTCACCCAACTCAAAACCTATTCACTTCCAAGATTTTTCATGGAAAACTTACTTATCAAAAATTTTTGAAATAAATCACACACGAACTACATATATGAAGGAACATATAAACAAAAATTTCAGAATTAAATAACAAGTAAATATTTTTATATAATTTCTCAAAGATTCTGTTCACATGCAAATTTTTCCAGCAACACTTCTCAACACATTTTTTTCATCATCTTCCTCTAGAAAAATCCAATTTAAGTGATTTTTTTTACTAACTCTAGGTTTTGGCATCCAAGGAATCTATTTCTAAACTCTAAAATATGAAAGGAGCATTGTAGAGTATCTAAATACAGTAGAATATAAAATATTCTAGTTTGGTTCCAATTCATGTAGAAGTGAGATAAATGGTAGTTTAGCTTAGGGTTGATGGCAAGAAGACTCTCCTTACCTCAAATGAAGCTTTCAAACAAGAAATTGGAGATCCTTAGTTCAAGAAAGAGTTTGTCTCCTATAAGCATCAAAATGACCATATACTTGAGATTACGAAGATGTTAGGAGATAATATTCAAATTCAATGCTTTAATTTCATGGATCTTACTCTTAACTGCAAAAAGGATGAACCAAGATGGTGTGGGCAAGCAAAATCAAGCTCCTTCTTTTTCTTCCCATGCTCCCAAATTAGCTTCTGTAAGTGAGAAAGAAATGGGTTTTTCTCCTTTCTTAAATTATACTATTTGGCTTTCTTTCCTAAATTATCCTTACTTAAAATTACAATTGTCAATTGAATCCTTTCCTAAATTACCCTTACTTAAAATTGCAATTGTCAATTGAATCCTTTCATCAATGAGAAATTATATTACTAATTTTGTTTAATGATATTACTCTTATTATTATTATTATTATTATTATTATTATTATTATTATTATTATTATTATTATTATTACTTCATTTTGAACTCAATTCTAAATTTATCTATTTCACTCTATTACAATTTCATGATATATATATATATATATATATATATATTTATTATTAGCGTCCTTAAAAATTATCAAGTCTTAAAATAACTCATAATATCATTTTATTAAAGTTAATGACAAAATATTTCATTATATTAATGAAATATTTTTGGGAAATATTGGATGTTACAATGACAGCTGAAATTAAATCTCTCAAAGCCAATAACATGTGGGAAATCGTTGACCTTCCCCCTGGAAAAACACCGATAGGTTGTAGATAGGTATACAAGATCAAGAGAAAGGCGAATGGAAAGATCAAAAGATACAAAGCTAACCTTGTCACCAAGGGTTATACATAATGCGAGGACATAAACTATCTTGATACATATTCTCCAGTTGCAAGACTTACCACTGTTCATATCATCCTTATTGTATTTTCCATTCAAAACTTGTTCATGGACCAATTAGATGTAGACAACACCTTTCTACATGGTGACCTAGATGAGGAGGTTTACATGACACTTCTTTTGGGTATTAATGTTTACTCTTCTTATGGAAAATATAACAAAGTTTGTCACCTGATAAAATCCCTATATGGTTTAAAGTAGGTAAGTAAATAGTGGTATGAGAAACTCACCTCCTATTTACATACTCTTAGTTTTAGCCAATAAAAAACAGATAATTCTTTTTTTATTAAACACCAGGGAACATCCATAACTATCTTACAAGTATATGTAGACGACATTATATTAGCAAGGAACAATATGAGAGATATTACAAATACAAAAGAAGCTTTGAACAATGTCTTTAAGATCAAAGACCTTGGACAGTTGAAGTTTTTCCATGGATTAGAAATTGCCAAAACACATGAAGGAATACATGTTTGCCAAAGAAAATATGTTCTCGATATTCTTGCAGATGTAGTGATGCTTATTATTAAGCCTATCTCAACTCCTATGATTAAGAAGAATGCAAACTTGTTTGAACAAAATGTTGATGTGTGTGATGCTATTGCATATAGAAAGATCATAGGATGTTTATTATATCTGGTCAACATAAGACCAAACATTAGTTTCGCTCAGTTTGTTCAAGCTCGATTGAAACACCATCATCAAGTCATCCAACGAGTGTTAAGATACATCAAATCATCTCATGCGCAAGGTATTTTCTACCCCAAAAATTCAAGTATATATATATATAAGCTTTTACTGATTCTGACTGGGTCCTTGTTCAATCATGCGTCGTTCCACCACTAGATACTGCATCTTCCTTGGAGATTTTTTGGTCTCTTGGAGAATGGATAAACAAAGAACTATTTATAGATCTTCTTTTGAAGCTTTGTAGAGGGTGTTGACCTCCACTTACTGTGAAATTCAATGGATCACATTCTTACTTAAAGATTTATTACAGATGTTCTCACCAAGGCTCTCCACCATGATGCTTTACATATACTTGTAAACAAGCTTGGAGTTCTTTCTATCCACACTCCAACTTGAGGAGGGCGTATAACAATATACCCTTTTTTCATTTTTCTATTTTTTAGGTTCGTTAACTTTTAGGCTCATGTTCCTTTGTATTTATAGTCACTTTCACTTACGTTGCATGTTGCATGTATGCAATAACAATAATACTATTTTTTTTTCATTTTGTTCTTCTATCTTTTTTTCTTCCTTCTGCAAGGAATAACCATAAATTTGTTAGTAATAGTGAAAATATTTTTTTTAAATAAAGTCATTGAATTTGAAAAATAGGAATCGATAAATTTCCTTCTTTCTTTTATCGAATTGGTTTCAAATTTAAAAGAAAAAACTAAGGCCTAAACTCAAATTACTAAATAAAGTAATCCTAATTTCAAAGCAATAAAATAAATCATATAATTGAAGACAAAAAATAATTTCAACTTTGTAAAAAAAAAAAAAAAACGTTTTCACGATTTTGACTAATTTTTTCCGCTAATAATATATGACATAATGTTCCATCTAGGAATGAGAGTTCCGTTTTAGAGCTCTCATTTGTCACGATTTTGTCCTTAAAAAGCGTCTTGATGGGTTAAGAGAGGAGGTAAGTGATGTGAGACTCATGAGCGTACCAGAATATAACTCTCAATCGAGAATTAAGGGGTATGTATGAGTTCCCTCAATCGATAACTAAGGGGTATGTATGAGTGGAGCGAAATTCTACTCTTGGCCCCACAGTGAGCGTTGATATTTCGTTTAAAGAATGAGTGTCTCGACCTCATGTCCGTTATGATAATATCGTTAGAGCTAATTTTCATGTCCAAAGTATTATCCGTTTTAGAACTCTCGTCTGTCATGATTTTGTTCTTAAAAGATGTCCCAGTGGGTTGAAAGAAAATGATGTATTTAAACTATCCTGATTTCGACTCCTAAGTACGAGACTCGTAAGCGTATAAGAATAAGAACAAAATTCAAAATATCAATATAAAATTTTGTTTTTTCTTACTGGTTAATGATCGTTAATTTTTAATATGATGTTTTCATTTTTTAAATTTATCATTTCGAATCAACTACTTTCTTTTTTATAAAACAAAATTATGATTTGAAAGTCATTTTTCTCTTTTATATCTTGTTACATAAGATGTATAAATATGGTGAAAGACAAGTTTGAAAAAGAATGTTTTATTTTACAAATGAACATGTTGATTACGAACTTTGCAGGATGCAGATATTTTACAAATTAATATAATACTAATAAATAGTATATATAAACTAAGCAAAAAAAAATTTAAAAATTATATATAATTTAAGTATTATTTTATAATTCAATCATTTTTGAATAATGATACAACATTTTTATTTCATATATAATTATAGATTAGAAAAAAAAAAAGAGGCTTAAGATATAAGTGTGGTACTATTTTGTTTGACAAAGGATTTTTTGTTTGACAATTCATAATCAAATATTTAAAATTAACGAATTTTCAATTTTTTTAAAATAATATATTTAGTTTTGCAGGGTATGCCTATCTATCTATAATTATTGCTATCATAATTTCTATGTAAAAATCCTAAATTGAAGATCATTTGGGACTGAAGAATATTTTAGAAAGCAAATTTATTCAAACTTTTTGATATTTTAAACATAGTTGGACGGTTCTATCGTGGATTGTTTATTGCAAAGACAAAAACAAATTGATTCCCCTGTTCTTGCAACGGAGACACACAGAAACAAAAATGGCTCCTTGGAACTCATTTCCCTTGGAATTGACCTACGAAGTATTCGGTTGGTTAGCTTTTCTTTCATGGGCAGTTGCTGGCTACCCACAACTCATCTTGAATTTTCGTAGGAAAAGGTTGTTTTTTCATCTTCTATGCTCATTTCCGTTGCTATTTTTCCTCTGGGATGGATTCTTAAGTGGTTTTGGTTGGTTTTGTAATCTATCTCAGTGTGGTGGGATTAAGCTTGGATTATGAGATTCTTAACTTAATCAAGCACTGCTCATATCTCATATACAATGCTTCCCTATATTTTAGCCCTGCTGTTCAGAAGCAGTATTTTGAGAAGTATGGTTATGAACAGGTATGTTCTTTTCATCCAAGAGTTTGACTTATAAAAGACTTTCTTTCATTGGCAAACAATAAGAGACTTGAAGTTCAAAAATATCAAAATTGGCAATAAATATGTAAATCAACTATTTGTCTTGTCCAAAATCATTAGATATTTACATCATCTAATTTTGGTTTATATGCAGATGATTCCTGTAGCAGCTAATGATGTTGCTTTCTCTACTCATTCAGTCATAATACATCTAATTATATTTTCCCAAATTGCAATGTTTGAAGTAAGTATTATCAAAAGTTCTTTATAAGAGACTGTATTTTCCTCTCATGACTATATTTGTTAGCTCCTAGTCTTGTTAATTCAAGATAGTAAATGATTTACTTATTTGCAGCGTGGAAATCAGAAATTCTCCAACTATTCCATTGCAATAGCTTTTGCAGTGTGGCTTACTGCTGCTGTTTGCTTTTTCATAGCATTGCCTAACCAATCTTGGCTTTGGCTAATCTCCATCTTCAAGTAAGTTTCACTCATTCTATGACAAATCTTTTTGACCCTATTCACAAGGATCTGAGTGTTGAATAAGCCATTTAGAGTATTTGCTCCAAGTTCCAATGATATAGATAATATATAGATATGTATATATACTCACTCCTATTGCTGCTGCTTATTCATCAAGGTAAAAGGGCATCATATATTCATTCCCAAGCACTTTATTCTGTTTTCAGTATGCCATTATTGCACTTTCTAAGATTCACATTAGAAGTATCTGAGTATTGGGGTTGCAAGATGCCATTGGACATAGAAAGCGTAATAAATGGTCAAGATCAAACTAGGCTTAAGAAGAATTTTTGCAGAACTATGAACTTGAGGCTATTTGAATAAATGCAGTCTCTTCAAGTTTCTAAGACTACCAATATCACATAAAAGTTTGGAAGTATACATTTAAAATGTGATTATTGCTCATACATATGAATCAACTGCCATTGAGATTTCCTGACTTGTTCCAAAGGGACGGTATTTTAAATTGAGTATGGCTTCCTTTTTGGGAAAGTTGAGTCATTTCAGTGTATTACAGTGCAAAACATCAACATCTTCAAGGACCTTTGAATGGGAATATTGCTATTCTTCTGTCTCTTCTTATTTATATATATATTCTAATATGATTGTTAATATTATAGTTTTTTTTTTTTTTCTGTGCTATGACTCAATTTCCCTCTAATAATTTGAGTAAATCAATACACTGCAGCATAATTCAAGTAATTATGACCCTCATCAAGTATTTACCCCAGGTCAGAATGCTTTAACATCCTCCATATCATGTTCTATGTACAGCACGATAGTAAATCAGTACCATGTCCCAAACGTGGTTTTTCCTGTTTACTCATAAGGAAATAGCTTCCACCTTTTGTTGCATAGTTGACCTGATTTCTGGTTTTGTTGTAATGGCTGCATTTACTTCAGATTTTCATACTTTTTCTTAACTCACTGGTTATATTCTAACAAATATTTTTGGTGTTTTTCATGTACTCATCTTATGTGAAATTAACATTAACAGTTCATTTACTGTTTTAATTATGATTATTTATTTTAGTGTGTTGGTTTGTGTTAGTGATAATATTAAGTTATTGATTTACTCTACTGGTGTACGTATTTTATTGACTCTATGGGTAATAATAATAATGGATTATTATTTCTTAAATATTTGACCATAAATATGATTTAAGTATGAAATACAATATGATTCACCAACAAATACAAATTATTATGTTTCTCTTCACTAATCTTCTCTTTTCATATTATAGTTTTGTTTTATTTTTATATGGTTTAAGTTAATTTTGTTTACTAGTGTTATCTAGATCAATATTCTATAGCTTGTAATTGTGAAAAAATATAGAGAATTTAAAGGTAATAGATTACTGATTTTAGAGAGTAATATTTTTGTTTCTTTCTTAATATTCTATGAAAAATTATTACATATGCATTGTGAAAATGAAACAATGTCTAACAGACGAGGTTTTAGTCATTGAAATTTAATATTTGGAGACCAAGATAATATTTTACAAAATTTAAAGAATTAAAATGATTAAAAATATAATTAAACTTAATTGATTTAGTTAGTGACTAATGGTTACTTTGTTATACATCTAGACATTTCTTAACTTCATGAGGAAAAGCACAAATGGATTTAGCATTGGCACTGTTCTCCTTGATTTTTCTGGAGGTGTATTCAATTATTCTCAAATGGCAGTGCAGGCCATAGATCAAGGTTGGTGAAGAAGTTTTGAATTAGAACATGCCATCAAATTTTATTCTTGAATATGAATAATGAAGTTGAACTTTATCTAAATGTAGGATCCTGGGTAAACTTCTATGGAAACATTGGGAAAGTTCTTATATCCTTGGTGTGTAATCCTCTCCTCTTCCATATCCTTCTTCATTAATTATTGATTCCATACCTTGTTTTGTCACAAAAATTTAAAAAATGCTTTCAAAAATTATATCAATAAGTTTTTTTTTTAATTTATAGAAAATTTCATTTTAATAAAAAAAATTAACAAATTATTTACCATCTATAATATTTGTGAAAAATTATAACTTTCGTCATCTTCGATAGAACAATTCACATGTGTTACTTATAACCTTAAAAAATATAAAATAAAAATTTATAATATCATATCATTGAAACTTTTTTAATAAATTTTAACAAAATTATTCTCTCTCATATTTTCTTTTTTTGTTTATTTTTACAAGTTGAGTGATAAAAACTGTCAACAAAATTTAAATAACATGTTACATAAAATTCTTCTAATATAAAATTACTTTAAATAACTAATATTTTATTTAAATATTTTAATAAAAAAAAACTCCCTTTTGGCAAATAAAATTTGATTTTTTTATTATCATTGCAGGTAACAATAATCTATGATTCTATTTTAATGTGCCAACATTATGTGCTATACTCTGAAAAGAAGAAAGGGCTTCCTCTTAAAAATTGTGAAGAAACCAGGCAACCACTAATATGTGCAAGTCCAACAGATCAACAAATCAAAGGTTCATTTATACCTTCACAGCAATCTCCACCAGAAGTTTAAGCATCATGTAGTGTACAAATTCTTATTTATAAGAAAATATTTATGGAGAAAACTGAAATAAATCTTTTTTCAAATAAAAAAATTACAAAATCTTAAAATATGTGACTGGTTTTCGTGGGATAGTATTTTATTTATATTGGTCCATGCTACTAAAGCTTTCAAGCAAAACATGAATACTAAATTTCCAATTCCCAATATTAAATTATTTGTTTTTTCCTTTCCTCCTTGACTCAAATTAATCCGATTGAAATCGATCCGAGAAATAGGTTATGTTAAACTAAAAAATTCATAACCTAAATTAAATCACACATGTTTTTTTATGTCTATTTAGGTCATTGCCTATATGGTCATTTTGTAGAATTATGATAATTACTTTTAAAATAAAAATAAAAAATAATATTATTTTATTAAAAAATTGACAAATAATTCACTTATTCTAAGAATAAATGTAAGAATAAATCTTTAACAATAATCTATTAAAAAATATAATGATTAAGATTAATTACTATTTTAAATTAATAAAATAATGATAATAATGAGTAAGTTTTATTTTGATATTGAATAGGTATATTTCTTATAATTTATATATTAAATAATTATATCTTAAATAAAAACTAATTTCACTAATAAAATTTTAATTTTTAAAATATTTTTTTATTTTTTATTTTTAATTAACTATTTTTGTATAAATATATTAATATTTAAAAAAATTAATCTGAATAAAATTGGCTTGTTAAGCCCTTAGCCTAACACATGATCATATTATACTAAAAATTTTTGTTTATTTTAAAATATAAGTCAAGTTAGACAATCAAATTTTTTTAACTTAGCTCGGAAAACCAAATCAAGCGACTAGTTTGTCTGTTTTGACATTTTTATCAATTATTCTTTTCAACTTCTCACCAATTCTTTCATTAGAAATTTCAGTATTATATTTATTAAAATGGTTTAAGATTTGATTTTTCCTTTTTTTTTTAATATTTTGTTATATTCACCACATTTTTTATCTTTGTCATAAATCTCTTTTTTTATAGTATAGTAAATGAGTCTTAAATATCATAAGCATATACTAAATGGTTTTACAAATAGAATAAAAAATCTCAAATAAAAAAATAAAAACTAAAAAAATAATATGATTCTATTAAGGGCATGAATACCAAAAGATTCACTTGCATAATTGATGTTTCAAATCCTGAAAATTGTTGAAAATAAAAATATATTAATTGATTATCTCATAAATAAAATGAGATGAATCCAAGTCAACCTTCATCTGTCATATAATATAACAATTAATGTTATAAATGACACTTAAATTAAGAATCGATTAGTAAAAAAATTATTGATTAAAATAGAATTACGTAATTAAATTAAAGCATAATAAACTCGCTTTATAAGTTAAAGATTTTAAATTATGATTTTTAAATTATCTACCACATTAGAAATTCACAAAAATAAAAGAGAATTAAAAGAGAAAAATTATGAACAATAATGTTGTAATAATTGTTTCAGTTAGGTTAGTTAGACTAACAAATCTCAATGACTGCTTTAAATATTGTATCTTTATAGTATTGAGTAAGTAATGTGATTGTATAATTCAATTTTTACATTGAATATAATTTATATTCAGTGTACCTCTTTTTCTAAACACAACAAAAGAAGCTCGGGACGAGTTGTTGCATATGGGGATGCAAGAACCCATCCAAGAATGTCTTTCAAGATTATTATCGATTACAAACTTAATGAAGTCATGTGGTGAAAACTTGAAGGAACGAATGGTGGTAGAGAAGGTGTTAAGGACCCTTGATGCAAGATTTGATATAATTTTAGTTGTTATCGAAGAGTAAAAAGATCACGATTTGTTGAAGATGGATGAATTACAAGGGTCATTGGAGGTTCACGAATAACAGTTACGTGAGAGAGTAGAAGAGAAGTCCAACGTAAAACAAGTGTTGTTGACGAAACAAAAGAATGAAAGTTTAAAGGAAAACTGAACAAGAGAGGTCGATGAAGGAAGAGGTAAAAATAATGGTGAAGAAGACTCAAAAGGGCAACAAGAGAGCTCTTCATAATCGAAAGGTGGCAGAAGTAGAAACTCAAAATGGAGAGGTGGTCGATATGGCTCTGATGCAAGCAAGAAGGATGTACAGTGTTACAATTGTAACAAGTATGACCATTATGTTGCACAAAAGAAAGACTTTAAGGATGAAGTGTCGTTAATGAAATCAGTGGAGACTTTTGGTGAATCTGGGTATTTAGATACTGGTTGTTCAAATCACATGTCATTTCAGAAGAGTTAATTCGTCGATCTCGATGAGAGGGTTAGATCAAAGGTAAAATTTGCAGATAATTTAATAGTGAACTATGAAGGGAAAGGTAGAATCATGATTAGAAGAAGAGATGACAAATCCACAATAATTTCATATGTATACTTCATGTTTCTACCATAAAACACAATTTGTTGAGTATCGAAAAACTACTTAAAAAAGGGTATTTGATCGATTGGAGATCGAGAGAGAAGATGTTGATAATCCTTGATAAGAATGTGACACCAATTTTGAAGAAACCTTTGAGTAAGAACAAAGTTTTACGAGTCTATATTCTTGTATCGAATAACTTATGTTTGGCAGTAGTAGTCTCGGATGTCGAATGGTTGTGGCATTTGATTCTTGGCTTCGATAGTTTGAGCCAACTTATAGAGAAAGAGATGGTGATTGTATTACCTTGAGTCTAAAAGTGTAAAGACATATTTGAAAGTTGCATGATAAGAAAACAAGCTAGAAACCCCTTTAAGGTGTGCATCGAGATCAGAAGTAAAGATGTATTGGCAATTATCTACACTAATATGTGTGGACCCTTCAATGTTTCATCACTAGTTGGAAATAAATATTTGGTGACGTTCATCGATGATTATAACAAGAAGATATGAGTGTACTTGTTCGAGAAGAACTCAAAGGTATTTAGTCTCTTTGCCGATTTTAAATCAATAAAGTGGTAAAGTTATCAAAGTATTAAGATCGAACAGTGATGAGTACAACAATGGTGTTTTTACATTATTTTGCAAGGAGAAAGATATTATGCATGAGATAGTATCTCTGTACACACCACAATACAATGAAGTTGCAGAAAGAAGAAATCAAACAATTTTAAATATGGTCATAAGTATGTTGAAGACCAAAGGTTTGCCACATTCTTTTTAGGGAGAAGTAGTATCGATTGCAGTATCCATCTTGAATCAATGTTCAACGAAGAGAGCAAAGGAGAAAACACCAGAGGAAATATGGTCTAGGAGAAAGTCAAATATAAAACACTTGAGAATATTTGACTCGATTGCATAGAGGCATGTTCTAGAGGAGAGAAAGAAGAAACTCAATGATAAAAGTTAGAAGTTGATTTTGGTAGGATATCATTGGTGCATATAAACTGTATGATCCTATCAAGAAGAAAATCATCATCAATAGAGATGTTTTATAGATGAGAAAAATGGTTAGAAATGGTGTTCGATGATTGAAAATCGAAGTGTTAGCTTCAATAGCTTAGGTGAAGTAGAAATCGAAGGAAAAGATCAATAGATTTCTAGTATCAAAGAAGGTGAAAATTGAACAATTTTTTAATTTGAAGAAAGAAATCGATTGATATTAGAAATCGAATAGAGCAAGAATAGATTGAGACTTGATATCAATGACAGTAATCAACCATTTTTAAGAATCAAAGAAAGGAGAAATAGACCTACAAGATCGATTAGAACACCAGTAAAATTCAATAATTATGTGATCAATACTGATAATACTGTCATAGCGACTGGACAGATGATTGGAGAAACGAAGGACGAGAATGATCTTGTATACTTAGCATTATATGATGATGTCGAGCCTGAACCAATTTGCTTTGAAGAAATGATCAAAGATCCCAAGTGGATCGAAGTCATGAAAGAGTAGTTATTGGCAATCAAGAAGAATAAAATATAGGATATAACAAAGAATCAAAGACCAATTAGAGTAAAATAGGTGTACAAGACAAAGTTAAAACCGAACGGAACAATTGCAAGATATAAAGTCAGACTTGTGGCGAAATACTTTCTACATAGAAAAGGATTAGACTACATGCACCTCTTGCCAGGATGGAGATGATAAGAACAGTTGTAGCTCTCACTAGCTATAAAGGGTGACAAATGCATCAAATGAATGTAAAATCTATATTTTTGAATGGTGAATTGGAGGAAGAAGTTTATGTTACACAACCATTAGAGTTTGTGATTATTGGAGAATAACATAAGGTTCATAAATTGAAGAAGTCATTGTATGACTTGAAACAAACCCCAAGAGCCTGAAACACTAAAATTGATGGTTGTCTTCGACAACAAAGATTCTTAAAGTGTGAAGTTGAGTATAAAATTTACTTAAAAATAAAAAGAAATTATGTGTTAATTGTTTACTTCTATCGATGATTTATTTATTACAGACAGTAAAATTACTTTGATCAATAATTTTAAAAAGATGATGCAAAATCAGTTTGAGATGAAATAATTCATCGAATTGATTCACCAAAGTAAATATGCTAAAGAAGTGTTCAAAAGTTTATAATGAATGAGTGTAATGTTGCAGTTACACCAATTGAGGCAAATTTGAAGTTTGACAAAAATGAAGATGGGAAGCTTGTAAATACTACTGTTTACAGACAAATGGTTGGGTGTATAAGGTACTTATGTTGTAGTAGGCTGGATATTTGTTTTGGTGTTAGGTTATTAAGCAGATTTATGAGGTATATTAAAGGGATGATCAATTTCAATATTTTATTACCAAATGATATATATCATAGTGGAGGAGAATTGATCGGATATTCCGATTTGGACTAGGATTGTGATAAAGTTGGGTTCATAAGCACATTAGGCTATGTATTCCTATAGGAAAAGTCACTGATTTCATGGTGCTCGAAGTTACAACCTGTTGTGGCACTTTCCTCTTACAAAATTGAATACACGGTTGTTGCTTACACAACTTGTC